GGGCATGGGGCACTCCACTCTATGTAGTGCTCTGGACACACAGGAGCAAGAGAGGATTAGAGTGAGGTGGCTTTCAGCTGAGGCTGCCTCTGAAGAAACAGCCTGTGGCTTTACTTCTGTGGTACAGTCCTTGGTCAGAGAGCTCCAGTTTTCTCCAGAAAGCAGGTATTTCTCTCAGTGAAGTAGTCAGTGGTGCACAGCTGCCTTCTCTGTGGAAAATGTCTCTCATGTTTCCTTCCATGTTACCCAATTCAGATCCAAGCTGTTGTGCTCATTGTCCCCCCTCCCTCCACCTTTTCCCCCAGCCATGCAATTGAAAATTGTTGCTGCATCTCCTCCTTCCTCTTAATCCCCCCTGGTTTTGATTTTAGCTGGGCAGGAGATTAATTAGTGTCTGCTTGTTGGCACAGGGAGGAGCTGAATGAGTACACGCCAAAGCCCCTGCAGTCCTCCATCAGTCCCCAGGCTCTGCAGAACCATGTCAGCATACTGCTGAGAACCAGGCAGCCCCTCCAGCCAGGGGATGCAAAAATACAGTTCATGGGTGAGTAGACGTCCAGGTCTGCTTGAGTTGTCTGTCCTGAGCATGATGGAAGGTGCTCTGAATGCACTCTAAGGACAGTCCACAAGGTTGGCATGGATTCTTGGAGTGGGCCATGACATACATACTTGTTCCCAAGCATGGTGATTATGGTAGAAGTTCCACAGCTTTTGTAGAAGCCTGCAGTAGATTTTTAGAGTGCTGTAGAACTTGTGTTTCAATTGGTTTTCTGGCTGCATGTCTCTGTTTTCTGGTCAGAAAAGAATGAGGCATCCATTCAGGCTGGTGAGAATTGAGTATCAGCAGCCTGGGGCAGAGGAAGAAGTTGTGAATCCTACTGTTAAATGTGGAAAAGTTTGAGAACACTTGCAGTTTTTGACTTTGCACTTTAGGTTGGTATGGTAAATTGCTGCTGGGGGCTGCTGACTAAAAGGCACCTTTTGCTTCTTACAGAGCACGTGATGAAATTGCCTTTCTTTGGCTACAACACCTACTTGGTAGAGAGAGTCAGTGATGACACAATCCCTGTGCCCTGTTTCTTTGGTGTGAATAAAGAGGAGATCATTGTGGTGGATGGCACTACCCAGGTATGCCAGACAATTCCTCCCTCAAGTCCAGAGACCTGATGTCTGTCAGATGTTAATTTCAGTTTTTAGAAGAACTTTTGCAGGAAGACTGTGTTTACCTGCATCACAGCCACTCTAACAGCCCTGGCCCAAAGGAAGTGATGAGACTGGCAGAAGTTAGTACAGCCATGTGCTCTTCTGCAAGTCCAGTGCTCAAGCTAACAAGCATGGGCCACAGTAAAACCAAGCGTTAGTCATGTTCCTGTTTGTCCCAATCCTGCAGGACTCTGAGGACAAGCTGTCAGCAGGAGTGTGCCCTGTTTTCTGTACACGCTGCCCTGTGCCTCAGTCCTTGCCTCACCTTTCAGTAGGCTCGAGATTAATCTTCAGACGGTTTTGTTTGTCAGGACTGACCCAGGGTGTTCTGTGGCTTTTCTCCCCACACAGGCTGTCTCCCGTGTCATTCCTCTGACGGAGCTGCAGAAGATGCGGACGCTGCGGCCCACCTCTGAGGGTGGGCTGCCTGGCATAGAACTGGACTATGGCTCAGCTGCCAGCCCCAAGGCTATGTGGCTTGAGCTGTCAAAGGTGAGATCAGTTTGGACATACAGCTTCCTCCTGGCCATTCAGAGATTGTCCTCCACTGCCCAGCTGAGCCTCTGCTAAGAGACCATACTGGTGCTCTCTTCTGTCCCAGAGGTGGAGGGGGCACTACATTTCCCACGCCCTTCAGTGCAGCTTTGTCCCAGCATGTTCCTGATACTTAATTATGGAAGTTAAGCATGAGAAGCAGACATTTCTGGGTCAGAGAATGACTGATACTGATTTGTGTTTTGACAGGCTAAAGAAATGTATCACACAATTGTTGTCATCATGGATAAAACAGAGTTGCACAACTAAAGCCCAAGAGGAGGAGAATGACCAAGCCAGACAGCACTGTTTTCCTTCCTTTGAGCTTGCTCAGTGCTCCCAGCCCTGTCTTCAGGAGAGGACTCTCCCAAAGACATCCATGACCTCAGACAGCTGCTTTCTCACTGCCACCACAGTGTTTGTTGATGGAAATAACCTCACCCCTCTGGACCTGCCATTCAGTACCCAAATACTCTTCCTCAAAGCAATTCATGCAGTGGCTAAACCATGAGACAACCTTTCCACACTGCTGCTTTTTCATAGCCTGTTCCAACCCAGAGCAGCTGAACAGATGCAAGCAACTGCCTTCAAGCTATGCAGTGTTGGGACTGTTATTTTGTTTTGAATTAATTAACATGGGCAAAGACTGATGCTTGCTAGAGATTGGTGTATCTTGGTGCACAGCTGAGGCTATGAAATGACTGCACTGGCTGCTGGTGTTTCCCATAGGCCAGCTTTTTCTCTATATTGATGTGCAAGAGGCCCTACAGCAGGGTTTGTGAAGCAGGAACTTGTAGAAAGCATCTTAATTGCAAAGCAGATCAGTGTTACAACACAATTAACACATATGCTGAGGCACAGAGTGAGCTGCAATGGTAAGGAAGTTTATTGTTAATTAATTTCTTACTGACATAATTATATGTATATGTTTCGCTCTACTATAAAGAAGTCAGTCATGTCCATGCAGCTGTTGACTTGAATGATGGCTCCATGCCCGTGGAGAAAGTGTATTCAAATGGAACTTGTATTTCAGTAGAGGAGAGTGTCCTGGGCTGTACAAAAATGCTTAATTTATTGTTATTGCTACAGCTCTCCTACTGAACTGAAACGTATCTGCACTTTAGGAGATTGCAATAAAATAATCACATAGAGATATTTTGAAGCTATGACATGACAGATACTGGTTTACACCTAAGATGGAAATACTGACCTGCAGGTAACTGGCAAAGCTTGAGGAAAAGGTTGTCACTGTTGGCTGGGAAAGGGATGGATCTGAAGGTGCTCAGTGCAAGCCATGATGCACAGCTAACTGCTTCCTGGTGAGTTAATGCCAGCAGTAACTACAGCATCTTCCCTGTCAGGAACTTCTCTGAAGTGCTGCTCACTGCAGCCTGTGAGGTCCTAGCTTAAGGATGTTCCACCCTCCCCCTTCAGCAGTGCTACTGCAAGGTAAAGCACCACACGACATGAAAGAAAGGAATACAGAAGATATCTAAAGATTAACTTATCCTTATTGCTCTTCTCTTTCTCTGAGCTTTTCCTCCCTTACATAAAAGCACAACTTATCAGGTTAGAAATGCCCTACCTTCAGATAAAGCACTTTGTCACACAACCCCATACCTAAACCAGCCCTCTATGGAGGACCCTCCAAATTTACAAGATAAACAAAGCATTTTTGAGAAGTTCACCTTGGCAGCAGCTGAACTCTATAAGCACTGAACTTTGGAGAGTTAGTTACCCCACTTAAGTGGCTGATGAAGCAGGATTTTTAATGGGAAGGTAAAATAGAAGCCAGCAGGCAAGAGCTGAAAAATACTTCTGTTGTGTAAAAGACTTCTTGTAAAGCCCTTTGTCCTTCAGTGAGCAGAGCAAGCTGAAGATGAAAGTGACTTTTGAGTTAAACATTTCCAGGTTGTTCTTCTGGCTCTAGCAGCAGAAGTCTTGCAGCTATAAAGAGCTGAGGTGCCTGCTAGCACATTCTTGCCATCCATCCCATCCCTGGCTTGCATTTATTAGCTGTCTATTCAGATAGCAAATGTCTTATCTATGGTCACACTGTGTTCACAGTGTTGGAGTCTTACTGTATCTTAGACCAGACTGTATGATTAGGTGGCAAGAAAAAAAAACTTACAGGAAGAGTCTAGAGCAGCTATAACGTTTTATTGTCAGTTCCACACATATCCCTCAGAACATTCTAAAAAAATATATCTGCTGAGTACAGTGGTCCAAAAGCCTGGTTGATGGCCTCTCAGGCTGCAGATTCCTCTGGCAGCATTAGTGCCTGTGGCCACCAGCCTCTACAGGCATGGAACAAAAGCAGAACCCAACAAGAACCCAACAAAAGGACTTGTGCCAGGGAATCAGGTTATTTTAAGCCCACTGATACCCTAAGATTCAGGTCCTTCTATATATATAGCAGCAGAGGCACCACAGTGCCAATGTGAGGGCCCCAGCAGTACTTTAACCAGTTGTAAAAGCAGCATTGCCCTCAGTATTGCAGACTGTAGGTGAGGCACAGGGAGCAAATATGGCTTTAGGGGTTACAAACAACTGCTGGACAAGCACTGGCAACCTTAGTGCCACTATTGGAGAGGTTACTACTGAAAGAGCATCACTGCTTAAGTTAAAGGACAGGCAGAACTAGAAAAGTTTAAAAAAACCCCACAAACAACAAACAAACCTTCAGATTAAAACAAAAAGAATCCAGGTTTCTCCACCTTCAGAAAGAAGGCATTGCCTGCATAGTAAAAAGAAAAACCTACACCCCTCCTGCCCTTCAAGGGAAAACATTCCACCCAGGAACTCAACCATGAAGTTTGCCATTGGAGGCCCTGAGCAAAACCTGTGAACTTGTAGGTAAGTTCCAACTTCTATTGGTACCACTGAACCAAGAACTAAGAGAGAAGGGAAATGAGGGGAAGAGCCATTTAGGAAGCAAAATGCCATCCTAGAGTCCTGGCTGGAAACTCTTGCATCCTTCCTAGACTGCACAACATCTGGGGCAGCTAACCTACACAGCAGATACAGACTTCAGACCTCTGGACAAGAGGTACTAGAGGGCTTCAGTGCCCTGGTTATTGGAAAAACTCTCCAGAAGTTCACAAAAACTAGTTTCCTTGAAGTGCATGTCACTAAGTACAGTAGTGAGCAAAAATGCAGTGGGAAAAGAAAGCTAGCTCACTTCTGCAGTTTCATGGCTGAGTTCTTGAAGATCCCCTGGTCCCACTGCTGGAGGAAGGAAGATGGGCAACATGATGCAAGAATCAGCTCTCTGAGCTCTGCAGCTCCTGCCAATCTGTCTCACTTTCACACCTGACCCTTGTTTTAAAAAACTCTTTGATGAGTCTCTGTGCTTCCTCCTTCACTGCAAGAGAAGAAACACCACCTTTGAGACAATACTTAGGACATCTGCCCCCCCTAAAGACTTCAATCCATTTAACATCAAAAGAATCCAAGATTCTTGGTGCTCTTCCCAGATGCCAACTCACCAGTCTTGCGGGCAGGGTTCTGCTCTTCAGTCAGTAGGTGAGACAGGTGCCGAGCAAAGCCCTTAAACAGATCCTGCAGAATGGGGAAGATAAAGAGCAGAAAGGAGACATCAGTTACCTCAGACTGTTCCCTCATTTGTCTTGCCCTTAAGCACAGCCTGGCTGTAGCACAAACCATTCGCAGATTTAGACTACAGGAGCATTGCAAACCTGCAAATACACCTGACCCTGGAGAAGCACGTGCACACAGATGCTGTATTCCAGAGCACATCAAGCAAACTACACCAGAACTGAACCTGATCTCACTCCACAGGTGGGAGTTCTTAAAATGTTTCCAGAGTTTAGTGTGAAAACATGAAAAATAACAAATGTGGAACCAACACAATGCCAATCTAAATCACACTCAAACCCTTTCCTGGGAGAGGTAAGTTGCTGCACCTAGAGTCAATACAACAGCACACAGAAGTATGTGACTTGGAAAAGACAAACAGTATCCAGACCATCTTCCCCTTCTTAGAGCCCCAGATCACTAGGGAGATGCAGCCTCCTTCTGCTAAAAAGGTCTGGAGCTGTGTCCTACCTTGGAAGCAAATTTGCCACCCTTGTAGAATGGAGTCAAACATTTGACAACAATGTCTGCTGTGTCCTTGAGGGATGTGCTTTTGGTCACTGGCTGTATGGACTTGCTTGTTCCTTCTTTATCACACTCTGATAAGTTTGGATCAAAAGTCACCTTCTTCTTTGTTTTGCTTTCTGACTGGGACTGACTTGAAGATTTTGCCACTGTCCGTAGCCGCTTTGCTGCAGGGCTTTCCAGATCCTGGAGATGGGACAGAAGAAAACCAAAACCACCAATTCCTGAGGTAGCATTACACTTCCAAGCATCCACCACCTTCTGAGAACATGAATCCTGCAGGCTCTCCCTCTAGTGACCACCATGCAGGAACCTATGGAACCCATCTTGCTGTGCAGACATAATAGTTTCCCACACAAAGGGACTTTAAGGAAAACCTTTAAAGAATGACTTTATGTTCTTATTAGGGCAGTTAACTGAGATACTTCCTATACAGAAAAAACTAAGAGGAAAAGATTTCCCAGGATGCCTGCTCAGAATACACCCATTGGGAAGAAATCAACCACTTCAGGAGTGCCACATTGCTGCTCAATTTGAAAGTGCAAGGAGAAGACTGCAGAACCAGTGACTGAATGGCAAGGAAGGCTAAGAGTTTGGTTCACTTCTGAGTGGTCCTGTGTGTCATTTGCCTGTGGTTGTGCCCTTGACTTGAGGAAGAAGTTTGCTAATTATAGTTACAGATCTAGAGGGCGTGGAGAAACTCATTCCAGGCAAGTCACCAGCAAGGGTACAGTCACATGGTGTTGCAGAGAAAAAGAAATAAAGCAGAGTGGAGGAGAAGCTTTCCACTGCCCTCTGAGCTGCTGGCACTGGCCCAGGAGGCAGCAGAAGGACACCAGGAAGGCAACACAACTACAGTTCTTCTCTGAGCAACCGCAGCTGGGCTTTCCCCAGATAAATAACACTATCAGGTGAAGCTCAGATCAGGAGCATCACTCTCAGGGAGAAACTTGGCACAAGATGAGAAGAAGAAATAGAGGAAATTAACATCCATTGAAGTCTTACCTCATCTGATCCTGGTCGCTTCCCACATTCACCTTCCCCAACAACAGTTAGCTCAGTTTCTGAAACATTTTCAGCAACACTAGTAGGAAGAGTGGAGAGAAGGCCAATTTCAATTATTCCACAGTGAGGATATTACTGCAATCACTAGAGTCTCCCTGACCAGCCTAGAGATCCAATATAGATTCCCAGTTTCCATGACAAGGCTGGTGGGGCTTTGTAGCTCCTTAACAGGGCAACAAAGGGAGCAGAGAGGTAGAGATTTTACCTGGATTTTACATCAATTTCTTCCTGAAGGAGTTCAGATTCAGCAGTCTGCTGGGTCTGAAAATCCTCTCTTCTCTCATTCAGGGTTACTTCTGTCTCTTCCAGTTCATCATTTGCTGCCTGGGACTGTCCAGTCATATCTTCTCTAGAGATACTGTTGTTTTCCTGAGGTTCTGCTTTCTCTTGACATATGCTTTGAGAAGAAACCTGAGGTACTGTGCTTGCAGAACAGCCATCTCCCTTTGCTGAGCTGCAACTTTTGGCTTTAGACCCACCTTTGGAGACAGAGAAAAATTTGGAAATATCCTGTGATTCTTTTTTAGCTGCTTCTGCAAGCATTTGCTGCTTCTTGCTAGGTTTGGACTTCTTAGTAGGACTCTCCCAAAGGGCAGCTTTTGTGTCTGGACTGCGTCTCTGTTCCTTCTTTTCAGGAAGGAATACCTCTACCCCAGCACTTTCACACGTTGCTTTGGTTGCCACTTTTTTCTTCTGGAGAACAGAGTTTCTGGTGTCCAGTTCCAGACTAGAGGTGCTGTTGTCTTGCCCATTTAGACAATCTACTTCTTTTTTGACAGGCTTTGTATCACTCTCCTCCTGGATCTTCAGCAGTTCTGAAGCTGTCTGGAACACACTGGATTTCTTTGGAAATCCTGCTCCCACACGCTTGGGTTTGAACTAGGGAGAAAGGAAGAAGAGATTTAGGGTATGAGAACATTAAGGAAGCCAGTGCAGAACACTGAAACAAGCAAAGTTTCAGGATACACACCAGTGTGTACAGCTGTAAGATGCAGAAGGCTCTAAAACTGACTCATCATCATAACTATCAACTGACACAGCAGGGAAATGGATGAGGTTATAGTCACAGGCCCAGAGTAAGGAAACAGAGAGCATCCTTGGGTAGAGCCAGATGCAAAAAACTTACTTGACTTATGGCCTGCACATGGATTATATTCACTAACAGGAACCAGCATGACTAGTTGATCTCACTCCAGAACCAAAGGACAGACAGAAAAAGCAATTCCAATAGAAATAAACAGCTGTGGCCTCACAAAGGGACCAAAGTAAAGCTATAAAAAAAGCAGACAAGCACACCATTCCCTCCCTGTCTGTCCCATGTGGACTCACTCACTGAGTAAACCTGGGATGCAGGGAGAAAGTCCTCTTCTGCTGGAGACCCAGATTTTGTTTCCAAGCTGCTGCTGCCACCAGTTCCAGACCCAAAGACTGAGAACAGCTCTCCTTGTTTTGAGGCTTTGTTGATTTCTGCTAGCTGAAAAGATAATAGAAATGTTCTCTAAAGGCCAGAAGTCTTTATGCATTCCTGTCTCTGTACACACTAAAAGCCATAGTGGCAAAACATATGTCCCCCCTGGAGAGATATCTCAAGAATAGAAACATCTTCAAAGAGAGTTATTGCAACCAGCTAAGCTAAACCTAGGTTTCTCTATTGTCAGCAACAGTCTGAGGACTCCCCACTCCCTTTATTGCCAGACTGTAGGCTATTTGGATAAGCCTGCACTGGTATGTAGGTTTCCAGTCTGTAAAGCCAACAAAGATGTGAAACCGAACTGATTATGAGCCCTCCTGGAAACAAAAGCAAGAAGGAAGATTTGGAAGACATACAAGGCAAAGCAGAGCTTCTCCTTCATCTTTCCCCCATAAACTCTACCCCATTTCTCCTCAAGCAGAGGCCACAGCACATTTAAGGGAACAACAGTGGACATGTGGTCCTACCTTCTTTAGCACCGTTGCCTTGTATGAGTTTGCCATTTTACTAGTTCGGAAAGCTTCATACTCCAGCTCCACAGCACAGGCATGAGGGTCTGACCTGAAACAGAGACTGGGGTCATTTCTGGCAAGACACCATTTCTGGCAAGACACACTTCTGTAACTCCAAAGGGAACACTAATGCTTCAGCATCTCCCAGAAAGTACAAAATCACTCCCTCCAGTGCAAGTGATAACTTCCAATTAAGTCCTAAGGGATGCAGCAGTGCATTGCTGGAGGATGGAAAGGGTGGTGAAAACAGCTTTCAATCAGTCTTCTTGTCCCGCTTCTCAGAAGTACTCTCTCTCCATCTTGTGGGACAGGAAAGAATTGCAGCTCCTAGGATCAAGCTGATCTAGCAGAATCAGACACAGGAATCCTTGTATCTGATCCTGAACACCACTACAAGAAGGATGCTGTTAAGTGAAACTACATCCTTGGCCCACATAACTTAAAAAAACGTTCCCTGAGAGTGGTAATGTTGCTTAGGGAAGAGTAGGCCCCGTGTTAAGGGACTCAATTGGCTACCCTTTCCCCTCATCTAACCTCATCTAATTTCATACCCTCTTCCTCCTTCTGCTGGAACCTTTTGATTGGTGCTCAAGGCTTCTTCCAGCATCTTCAAGCAGTGTTCCCGTCCCTAGGAAACATGGGATACTCAGACATGCTCTACAGAAGTCACAGTGCCCTTTGCACTTCCATCCCTGAGGGAGTAAGAACAGAGCAGGCAGAATATTGCTCTGTGCAAGTCAACAAGACTGAATGTTCACCAGCCCTTCTTACCTTCACTGTGAGCTTAGAGATTCTCCTGCTGGAGGCGTCCTTCAAGGGGCAGTCTGCACCTACCACAGAAGGGACATTTGGAGAAGGGACCATAGCAGGGCTGGGGCTGATGCTCCTCCCTGCATAGTCACCCCAAGAACCACTACACTACAGCCAGCCCTTCTACCTGGAGAAGCTACAAATTCCAAAGGAGTAGGCAGAAGCCACAGTAAAAATTTTAATCTATTTTGCTAGTTTACAACTGACAGCTTTCCAAAACCTCTCCCTCTAAGGAAACCTTTTATCAGGCAATCTCAGCTCTCAGGAAACTCAACTCTTTTCCACTCCCCACAATACTAACCAAAACTAGAGAGGCTGAACAGAGTAACACGAACCACCAAGTGTTCTTTTACAACAGAGTAAAAACTGTGTTGCTAGCCAGGGCCCCAAGAAGCACAGTTACAAATGGGAAAGTGTTTCAGCAGTTTCCTTATAGCCCAATTGAATTGCATAACCACTGCAGAGAGAGCCTACAAAGTCAGGTTAGACAGAGTTTTCCTTCTCTTCTGCTTATTTGGAAATGTTGTTCAGAAAGATACATTCCAAATCTTCACCAAAGCTAAGCTCTGATGCATTTCCTCCAGCCAAGCTTTCACAGCCAAAAGCCCAACCTCTGTGCCTAGGGATTGGTACCTCCAGTGTTGATGCTACATAAATTACACACAGCTGCAAAATACAAGACTTCCTTCTCCCAAAGAAAATCCACTATAAATTAAAAAAGGTATTTACTTGGAGGAACAAAATCTTCCTTTTCTGGTTCTTTGCCCTGGAAGAAAACAAAGATCAGTCAAACATTTCCATTCCTGCAACACACATGGAGGTCTAAGAAGAACAAAAGAGACATTTTATACCTGTGCTCCAGGGAAAAATGAATGCTGAAGTTACAAAGGTACTGGAAAGGTATCAAAATGGGGTAAAGGAGACAAAGGATGAGAATCAAAGCCAGAAGTTCAACTTTGGCTATAGGAATATGCAAGAAAAGCTGAGTGGGGAAATCTGTTTTGACTAATATCTGGAGTGCCAAAGACAACAGGATCCCTTTGATTAGCACTGCAGAGAACTCTGTGCATGGATAAGCTGGGTTCCTTCCTATCATGGGGCTGACCCAGAATATGGAGAACACAGCAAAAGCAGAGGGACAAAAAGTAAAAAACAGGGCAAACAAGAGCAAGATGCGATGATTTCTTTTCATTAGTGCCAGGAAGCCTTTCTGCTTTCTGCTTTTGTAAGACAAGCTGACAGAAAGCAACCCGGGAATCTCTCCCAAAGGGATAGCAACTCACCTTGCGCAGACTCATCTGCTTTTTGTAGAAGTTGTTCCACTCCCGTTTCCGACTCTCTTCATTATCTTCATCCCAATTCCCACTGCTTTCTTCATCGTACCTGGATGAGGCAGGAAAACAAGAGGAATAAACCTTTCTGTAACTGCAGAATTAACTGGGGGACAGGCTTTGGAAAGCCTTGCTCATCCAAGTATTTACAACAGATTTACAACAGATGTACTTCATGTGATTTCTGAAAGAGTCTCAGCTTTTCGTTGTACTGCCACCCCTCAGCCTGGACAGTGAGTGTACTCCAAAAACTCATGGAATTTGCTAATCCCATGAATCAGTGAGCAACAGCATGAACTAGCAGCACATAACTAGTGTTCTGAGAATGGAGGGATCCATTTCAGGAGCTCTGACAGCTTCTCCTACAGGGGTGAGTAGCCAGTGCCTTTCGTCCCTCTATCAGTCAACTATTACCCTCGGAACAGAGATGGCAGAAAGGGCCAAGTCCCACTCCTGAGACTCCATTGTTCACAGGCTGTTTTACTAAATGAAATCCCCATCACTACTACCCTGAAGTGCAGCAGCTGATTCTCACCAGATGCAGCCAAAGAGTTTACCGCCTTCCACAGCTGTCACAGCCCAAACTGCCAGGTGTGAGAGATTTAAGGCTGTTGACCAGTACAACTTCGAGGCAAAGATACCACCAAGGTTCAGTAAATCAAGTGGTAAAGTGTGTTGTACCCCAGCATTGGCCCAGCCTCCTCAGGATCTGAGTTCAAACACACACTTAGGTCACAAGTGCAGCAGTTTCCTCTGACTCACTGGACTTGCCAGAAGAACAAAACCCCCAGTCTCAAGCTGTTTGAGGTACAGCAGTGGGCTAGGCCAGCTGAGAGAGCTGTGCATCCTGGCAGAGCTTCATGGGCAGTGCAGGCAGCCAAACTTGCATCCTGGCAGAGCTGCACAACAGCTGCAACTCAGCCAGAGAACATGGAAGAAAAGAAGTTGTCATCTCCACACTGCCAAGGATTTTACAGAATTATGTTTCCCACTGCACATCTTCCTTTTGCTGTTAGCCTGAGAGGTAAACACCAAAATTTAACAATCTGCAGAAGAAGCAGACACTGGCACTCCACTAGATTCTCTGTGATGACTAAGTCCTGTTAGTGGCCCCTCAGCCTGTTGGCCCACAAACAGCCATACTAAGCCAGGAATGAACTCTGGATTGTGTCATGCTTTGCTGTCACATTGGTCTCAATTTAAACCTTTTTGATCCTTGTGACTGTGAACAGGCTAAGCCCACTTCTTTCAAAAAATTTGAAGCCAGTTTCTTGAACCAATTACACTCTACAGGGCAATTCTTAGGTCAGTCAGAATAACTTCTGGGACATGAATGTGATTGAGGCTGTTTCCAAAGCGTGTGGAAAATGAAATTCCAGCTCCTGCTGCCAGGAAGTTACAGGAAAATACCACCACACAGAAACATGTGCTGAAGATAGGAGTGGCTGGGCCTGCAGCTGGGAGATGGGCTCTTCTCTCTGAGAGCTTCGATGAGCTGAGTTGGAGTTACAGACCTGCTAAAACCTCTGCAGCCTCTCCTCCCTCCTTCATACAGCTCTGGGTCATAGCTATCCCAGGAGGAACCCGTGGGCCCGATGCAGGTTTTGCTCCAGCTGTTGCTGCAGTGCTCCAATGACTCCAGCTGCCTCTTCACTGCCCCTGGGTTCCTGCAGTAATCACAGCACTTGTTGCAAGGTGGGGTGACATCACCAAAGTACTTGGCTATGGCAGCATGGCGGCATCTGGGGAGCAAAAGGAATATGATCTGGTCATTATTGATATGGACTCCATCCTCCAAATGCGAGGTGTCTTTTGATTAAGACCTGAGTATTATTTTTCTGGGCAGAGAATGCTTACTCCAGCAGAAGTCACAGGGATTAAGCCCTGGAGCACAACCAGGGTTGTGTTCCACGCATCCGACTTAAGGTCTCTCTGCCTCCACTTCCTCACACGTAAAACAAAGAGTGGTGTCAGTATCTTCTGCTAAATGCTTTCAGAGCTTTGAGATATGCAAGAGGCAAGATGGATGAAATACGCAGTTATTAATTATTAATTCTGGATTGATGGCCAAATATATTTCATGTCCAACTACAAAGGCTCCAGGATAAATATGTAAAGAGGTCCTGTTGACCCCTACACCTCCAAGTTCAGAGTATGTCTGTATATTTCACACTGGAGGGCTTCTAATTTTATTGTTTGTGGTTTGAAGATGAAGAAATCTACATTTGAAGAAACAGCAATGTGAATGAAGTCACAAGGGAGCCCCATTCAGATAACACAGCCTGGGTCTTGATCTGCTAACACATGCTTCAGGTGACCAGTGGGTTGAGTTCTACATCCATGAAAACCAGTCCATTTGCTCATGCAGTATTGCACAACCAGTTCTGCCAGCCTTAGCAAACTAGCCATGTGAAGATGATTAGATCCTTCCAGGAATCTTTGGAAGATTTCTGGCAGACAGCAGTGCTTTTGGGAACATAGAAGTTTGGTGACAGAGATGTGCTCATTGGCAATACAGGCACGTAGTGATTTCTCTTCTAGAACATTCCTTAACATAAACCAGTGAAGACACTGATCTTGCTAGATAAAGCAGAACCAGGTGGTTACTGTTTTTTGGTGTGGGTTTTGGTTTTTTCTGTTTTTTATGAAAGTGGGCAGAATTTAGAGAAGCTTTTTAAAACTTGGGTTTCACAGCAGAGGTGGCCAGTTGTCTCTTAATCAAAATGCCGACACTAGGGATACATAAACACTTACTTGATCAGGCATCTAGAAATCAAATCCTGCAGCCAAGCAGCAACAGGAGTTATTTTAGAAGAGTTCTTTTACTGCAAGGAACAAAGTGGAGATTTTTCTTATCTAACCAAGGAGTGCCCTAGTTGGCTCACCAATTTCATCTGCAAAAAGTGGGTCACAGAGAGGGAAAGTAAGAGAATGAAGACTTAATTTATTCTTATTATAAACCCTTTAAGGCATGTCTAAACTTGTGAGAGATCTGACAAACACAGTTTGCTTCTTAACTTGTGTACGTGCATGCATGTGTCTGGAGGGAACAAAATTGCATGCCTACCAAAGCATCACAAACAAACACTTCAAGGGTCTGCAGCACCAGCTGCCTCACTCCTTCCCATGGCCAGGGAGGTTAATTTACCCAGCAAAAGAGCGAGTGAAACAGCAAAGCAACAGGTTACAGACTTGCTGCCAGAGCAATGAAACGTGTGCAGAGAGCCTGGCACTGCTCAGGTAAGGAAAGCTGCAACAGGGTGACTTTGCACTGCACAGTCTAGGGCACTGAAAGCCTAGAGAGGGCTATGACAAAGCTGGCTTTATATCCCCCTGCAGAGCTCCACTGACTCACTCCGACTTGTTCTCAAAGAAAGAGCTCCTTTCAGATGGTGGGGAAGGGTGGGGGGACCAGGATGGGGACAACACATTCGATCCCCTTGTCCTGCTTTTCCAAAAGAACTACTGGGGCTGCCTGTCCTGCCAATGCAATGTGACTATAGAAATGTCAGCAAGCTGCAAGTCAGCTTTTTGTTTCCCCAAAAGAAAACAGGCAGGCATTCTCATTAGTCCACGTCTCTCACACGCACTGATCTGAATTAGGGTTAAGTGAGGCATATAGTCCTGGTCAAGCCCTTTCCTCATTCCTACAGCCCACTCTCCAGGCTTATGCTGGGGAGGGACATCCATACACACCTCTGCCCCTTAATGCAAACAAGAGAGATGGCCCAAGGGAGGGCTCTGATAGAAGCAGAGATCAGCTCTGAAGTCACTGGAATTTAGAGAGGTTCTAGTTTCTAACCCATCAGGCTTAGCCAAGCCCTTTCTGTCCAGCCTCCTGTAACTGCCTATGTTTTGCTACAGAATTACCCAAACTGGGGCCACAGCCCCACTTTAGCCAATGATGCTAATAAGTTGGGTCATAATGGAAATTCATTTGCAGAACTAAGATTGCAGTCCTGTAATTAGTCAAAAGGCCAAAAACAGACTTACCAATAGAGATGCTGGGGGGAACCACTGGATTAATGCTTAACTGACCACAAGAGGTCCAGAAACATAGTTGGTTATGCATTAACATGTGGTGAGAAATCTTCCCAAGTCCCATTAGCACCTGACTAATGCCCATGAGATGGACAAACCATTTACATAAATTCATGGTAGTTTGTATTATTACACATGTACTAAATTTATTTCATCCTTTAAATATGCAACTGTATTATTTGCCTTCCCTACCCTCCAACAGAAATATGTATGAGCTGACCTTTGGTCTTTAGAATGTCTAAACAAAATCATCATTTAATTTGAGACATCCTGCTCTGATTTGACATATGGGATAAGCTGAAGAGCAAATAACAATCAGGTTCATTAACATATTTTTGTCTGTGTCAATGCATTTCAAGAAAATGCTAAACTGGCCACTCAGCTGCCTGCACCATTCCACCCTTTGGTTCCTTGCTTTTGTACACCAGGTAAAACAGGAGCCCTAATCCTGCAATGGGTACAGAGAAGCAGCAAAATCATACATCCCATAAAGAACCTCTGCTTCTCAAAAAAACACATCAGAAAAAAAGCTTTCCCTCTTACAAGCCAAAGAAGGCTACACAGGCTCCTCAGAAAAGCTCTCCCCACAAAAAAAAACCGACACCCAACACAAATCCCAGCAAGTTTTGGAATAAAGCCAGGAAATTAAAGCATTAAACAGACAGAAATCGTATGAGGACAAATTATCCTCGTAGATGCCAGTTGCTGAACAAAAGCCATTTAATGAGCTTTGTCAAATAGAAGAGTAAATTATGAGGTTGATGAGGAATTATAATTTTGCACCTGTCAGAAGGGCTGTGTGCTTTGTAGTACCAGCTGAACTTCAGCCACCCTCTGAGACAAGACAGTGGGTGTCAGCTGTCCCCGGGGTACAAGCAGCAAGTCCCAAGGCACCCAGAGAGTAAGTGATTGGGCCAAGAGCAGGGAGCAAATTCAGCACCCCAGCATCAGCTCTGCTCCCTGCCACTGGCAGACTGGGCTGCACTGTCCTTTCTTCCTCTGCCCCTTCAAAGAACACAAGAGAAAAGCTCCTTGAGGGGGAAGGAAGCTGGGCAGCATAAAGAAAGTTAATCGCTCAAACACACACCCAAACTATCACAGAGGGAGAATCAATTCAAGACCCACTCCAGAAAAAAACTAATTAAAGGAAAAATAAAAAAAAAATCATTCTAGGAGGAGATGCACAAAGGGAGTGAGCAACAAGTAAGTGCTGGCACTTCCAAGTGCTGGTGCTTCGGGGAGGCTGCACCAGCGGCTGGCTCAGCCTGCGGTGGCTCCTGCCGCCCTCCCTCCCTCTCTGGCACACATGTAACACGAAACTTCATATCTCCAGGACGACCAATAACAAAAAAAAAAGGCAGAGACAACAGCTGGCTGTCAGCAGCAGAGCAGAGAGGAGCTGAGCGAGGAGCAGGAGCGAGACACAAACCAGGATGAGGGGAGAGATGACGTGAAAGTTTAAGAAGACAGAAAGAAAAACAAGAGGAGAAGAGTTGGCGGCGCGGCTGGGGTAAGGCTGAGCTATTGCTGTTCGGTCAACCATAGCACCTTAAACAGTCGGCTTGTTAGCAAGGAGCTGGGGCTTCTGTAGCTCTCTCTAGGGAGAACTGCAGAATCAGCCACTGAGAGGAGCTTGCTAGCTTGAATTTGAGAGCAAAGGACACTCAGGAGCAAAGGTGGGGAGAGAAAAGCTCTTAATAGGATTGCAGAGAGCTGCGCTGCAGCCGCAGCACTAACAAAGGGATCCAGCCTGCAATGCTTCCCAGTCAGAGCAGGAGTAAGCAACTTCTCTGCTGATTAGAAAGGCTGGCTGCTCATTTTTCTGTTCCTGTTATGGAATGTGACCTTAGCTGATAAGCAGGTCCAGCACAGGGCATTCCTCACAGTGGTGACTTGATATATTAGTGTGGACAAGAGAGCTGCTCTGCTGCTCTGTCCCAGCGGCGTATGTGCCTCTAGTGAGTCGCTGCCAGCACAGACAAGCACATGTGAAACCAAGTGGGTGCCAGGCACAGCACTTCAGAGCTCCTCCCAGCTGGAGCTAAGTTTTATCCCCTAAATCCTGAAGCAAACAGAGAGCTTAGAAAACAAACCCTGGTTGGGGAACTAGCATACTGTGCAAGTTAAGCAGCTGTGTCCAATAGAAATAAATGGAAAGACTTTACACAGCTTCCAACAGCATTTAAAAAAAAATAAAAATCAGCTAGTACATCAGGCACAGATGCTGGTTTACTATTCATAACAGCATGAGAAACCACTGCTTTGAGAGAACACGTACATACACATACATGGTCTGGGGTTTATAATAACAAGACCGTCAGGTCTGAAGGCAGTGAGAAGGGAAGGAAGAGGAAAAGGATCCCCCAAACACACGAAATTACCCACCGTAAGCCTCGGTTTCACATGGAAAGGTGTCCCACAACAGACTGTGCCCTCATCTCCTTTTCCTGCTGGCTGTGGGAAGGGGGGCTGGCAAGGAGACCGACCATATCTGCCCCCATTTTCTGCTATTTACTAGCTAGATAGAGCCAGCTACTCTATTTGGAAGCTCTTGCAGCTCCTAAACACAGAGCTGGAACCTCTTGCCTCTTCCAGGAAGCACAGGAGCAGTCAGCTGTTTACAGACAGGTAGGGAGCAAGGCAGAAGGCCAATTCTCCCAGACAGATGTCTTCCCAATCCTACACATCCCTGTAGGAAGAA